TATCTTCTACTATTATTACACATTTAAAGCAGCTTTCATGTGCAACACAGTCATGTATTTATTTTCTGTTTTATTTGCACTGGCCTTTTCTATTTGTATTTTAATCTAAATTTACAAGCAAAGGAAAATCAATTTATACTGAGACTCGTGAGCTAATGGAAAATTTCAGTTGTAACACTACATACAGCCTGTTGTGACTGCTTTTTCTTGGAAATTACAATACTTGCAAGGTCCTTAGACATTTGCTGAGTATTTTCATTTATAATGATATACAGTATTTTAAAGAGTTATGCACCCTTAACTTGCATTGTGCATTGCAATGTGCTATTTACGTAGATTTCATGATACATACTGAAAATAAATCTAGCTTTTAAAACATGTAAACATTTTTCCAGCCTCTTACGCTCAGCAGCAATAAGCAACAAAATTAAAAACTTGTTTGGAATATCGAACATAGCAGCTATCATTAAAAATGCTTCAAGCCAGATGGTCTGACCAGAGGATGAGTAGGATGCAGTGTGTAGTAATTTTTGCTCTGAAGGGGAGAAAAGTCTTTGAGACATCAAGAAAGTAAATTTGAGGAAGTCTGGAAAAGATTGAAACACAAAGTCATGTCTCTTAAAGCTTAATCTGCCTGCCTACACCTTCCTTATGTTTTATTTTGAAGCACTTCTGGGACTGTTTTGTTTGTGTCTATTTAAAATTCTGATCATTGAACCTCAGAGCAAAGTAGTAATGACAGTAAATGGTCATTTAAAACTTTATTTGAGAAGGAAGTTACAAAATATGAGCACGACTGTAAGACTGATAAGGTTCTTGAGAACGTAGGCCAAGAAGATCAGAACAAAATGTTCACGGCAGAAAATACAAACTCTCAAGTAATCACGTGACACGCATCAAGGTCCACTGACCAATCAACTTACAGAGAGCAGCCCATCTCCTGTTTATCGTCTACGCCTCTCAGACGTTTTCTGCTAATAATGTCAGACATGATCAATTAAAAAGAAGTATTATTTTTCCTGATTTGTTCATTTTGTTATTCTGAAACACTGTCAGCCTTCCTACAAAAGTTTTGGTACCACTTCCAAGTTGGACGGTTGCTATGGCTGCAAGTTAAGGATGGCTTCTATGGGCAAATACAAAAGTATGGCAAGCCAATATTTTATATAATACGTACTTAAAGTAAATATCCACAAGTTAATGCTTCCTGATTTACATTAAGATGCCAGCTGTCCAGAAATGTCTCAAACATTGCTCGTAGTCCTAGATGTTTTTTTTAAACAATTTTAAATACAAATAAATCAACATAATTAAAATATTTTTAAAGGGATATCCAATTAAAATATTACAATTAGCTACAAAGCAATTTCAGGCTTCATAAATGTAAATGATGACGCATGTAATTATGATTTCAACCATCCACATACTCGATGGAATGCTATTTACTATATAAAAAGGTGAAATTATAATTAGGACTAGTAATTAGGGGTGGCCCCGATTTCCTTAATTTTGGGAAATCGGCCGATACTTGCACGAGAAACCGATTTTACCCATTTTTGTTTGTTTGTTTGTTTTAACAACAATTATCTGAACTTCATTTATATTTCAGAGCACTACATCATGGCCAGTTAAAACAAGTTTGTATTGTTTCTAGGATATTAGTTCCCACCTGCCTGAAGACTGCCACCATCATCCCAGTCCCAAAAAGCTCTACAGTGACTGGTCTGAATGACTATCGGCCAGTGGCCCTCACCCCGATAGTCGCTAAATGCTTTGAAAAACTGGTCATGACTCACATCAAAACAACCATCAACATCAACGAGGACCCTCATCAGTATGCATACCGTGAGAACCGATCAACAGAGGATGCAATCTCCTCTGTGGTCCACACTGCGCTCAACCACCTGGAGCAGAAAAACTCTTACGTCCGTATGCTCTTTGTGGACTTCACATCCGCCTTCAACACCATGATCCCCCAAACCCTGATGGACAAACTATCCACACTAGGACTAAGCCCCTCCATCTGCAACTGGGTACTAGACTTTTTAACAAACAGACCACAGTTAGTGAGGATCCACAACCTCTCCTCCTCCACCATAACCCTCAGCACTGGCTCTCCTCAGGGATGTGTGTTGAGCCCCCTTCTGTTTACTCTGCTCACATATGATTGTGCAGCTACCCATCCAGGCTGTCACATTGTAAAGTTTGCAGATGATACAGCGGTGGTGGGATGCATCACAAACAATGATGAGTCCAGCTACAGGCAAGAGGTGGAACACCTGGAGAGCTGGTGCAAAGAGAATAACCTTCACATCAATGTGAAGAAGACAAAGGAGATGATTGTGGACTTCAGAAGGAACAAAAACACCTACACCCCCCTGAACATAAGAGGATCTGCGGTGGAAGTGGTCTCCAGCTACAAGTACTTGGGTGTACACATGAATGACAACCTCAGCTGGAGCAACAACACCACCAGCCTGATCAAGAAAGCTCATCAGAGACTCTACTTCCTCAGACGGCTGAGGCGAGCTGGTCTGGGAAGCTCAGTCCTCACCTCCTTCTACAGGTGTGCAGTGGAGAGCATCCTGTGCTCGAGCATCAATGTGTGGCATGGAGGCTGCACAGCTGCAGAAAGAAAAGCTTTGCAGAGAGTGGTGAAGGCTGCACAGAAATCTGTTGGAATCAGTCTCCCCACCATCACAGACATCTACACCTCCAGATGCAGGAAGAAGGCCACCTGCATCATGAAGGACCCCACTCACCCAGCACACACACACTTTTTGCCCCACTCCCCTCAGGAAGGAGGTTAAGGAGCATTAAGTGTAGAACCACTAGACTGAGGAACAGCTTCTACCCTGAGGCTGTTAGACTCATGAATCTCTAACTAGAATAATCACTGTGAAAAACCATATCATGTTGCTGCTGATCTGTTTCATGTTGCTGCTGATCTGTTTCAATGTTGATGTGTTCATGTGTGCACATCTGATCACAGACTCATGTTCATGTTTGTGCTGATGTTCAATGTTTTTATGTTATGAGTGCTTAGTGTATATTTAGTTGATGTTTTTCTTAGTTCATATCTTAGATGTTATTACTGTTTTTCTTATACATTTTATTGTTGGATGTAACTGGGACCCTGTGTACATAATTTCGCTCCACCACATGTACCACATGAGGTGCGAATGACAATAAAGAAACTCTGACTCTGACTCTCTGATATTGTTCAAGGGTATGTTTTTCAGCAAAATAATATTGGAAAATTGAAGGTGCATTGTGAACTTATAACATCTGACATTGTCGCTTATAAAACAAAATCGGAATCGGCAGGTCAGACATTTTAGAAATCGGTGATCGGCCAGAAAACTGCAATTGGTGCACCCCTACTAGTAATACCAACTTTGGATCTGAAAAGTGGATTTCCTCCTTATAATAATTTTGTTTTGAACATCTACAAGGTGAAAATGAAGATTGCTCTTATGGATATTTGAAGCTGAATACACATAACTGAGGAAAAGTGATATTTTTTGTCCTAGGAAGAAAGCCTGTTTGAGTACAGTACCTGAAATAGTATTGTATCACTTAAGAAAAATTAGGGGGAGTGGTGGCGCGGAGGGTGGAGAGGACGAGGTCACCTGCATCATGAAGGACCCCACTCACCCAGCACACACGTTTTTTGCCCCGCTCCCCTCAGGAAGGAGATTAATGAGCATTAAGTGTAGAACCACTAGACTGAGGAACAGCTTCTACCCTGAGGCTGTTAGACTCATGAATCTCTAACCAAAATAATCACTGTGAAAAATCACATCATGTTGCTGCTGATCTGTTTCATGTTGAGGTGTTCATGCGTGCTCATCTGCTCACACAGACTCATGCTCATGTTCGTGCTGCTGTTCGATGTAATGTTATTATTAGTGCCATTAGTGCTTAGTGTATTTTTAGTTTATGTTTTTTTTAGTTCATATCTTAGATCTTATTACTGTTTTTCTTATACATTTTATTGTTGGATGTAACTGGGACCCTGTGTACATAATTTCGCTCCACCACAGGTGTGTATGACAATAAAACTTTCTGATTTTGACTTATCTTAAAAAAAAAAAAAAAAGTAAAGATGTTTGATTATATGCTACTCCAGCCTGCCATACAGGCTGTTGTTGGGACACGTGACCTGGAGCAGCACTGATCTGTTTTGACAAGCAAGTAGGGAGGGAAGTGAGAAGGGGAGGCAGACTGTAGCATCACGACTAGCAGGACTCACTGTTCCTTTAATCTGCGTTTCGTCCGAATTATATTCCTAGTTCGGGAGTCCGGTGACCTGGCAGCCGAGTTCTGCTCGGTTCGTGGCAGTCGTCGCCGAACAAGTACCGGCTCGGACTTGGAGGGGGGGTGTCTGTCTTGTTTTCTGCTCCGCTGTCGCTTTGAAAAGTTTTTTTTTTTTTAATGAAGACCACAAAGGAAGTCATCGCAGGTGGCGTTTTAAAACGCCGAGTAGGAGGTTGTAACTCGACCTTTTTGAGTGGGTAAAGTGGGCCGAGTCAGTTATCGAGACCTGGTCAAAAATTAACAAATATACTCTTAATAAAACCGTCTGTCAGTCGGTGGTAGCTGAGCCGAGCCGAGCCGCGCAGGCTGGGATGCTAGCAGATAGTTAACCACAGGTTACCGATAAGGTTAGTTGGTCCAGTTTGCCGTCGTGCTAACACAGAAATGAATCGCGACCCAACTATGGTTCGGGTGGAGGAATTCGAGACGAGCCGAGAGAGGAGGCAGCTGGCTGGTTAAACTAGTAAACAGGTTGACAAGTCCTCCACCGACTCCTGTCAGCTGTCTTTGTGCTTGTCGGTGAGTGCGACTCCATGGACGCGTACAGGAGCAGCATGCTAACAAAGCCAGGCTTTGTTGTTGGATAGTGAGGAGGAGGGGGGGGGCAGCCTTCACAGCTGATATTGTTGCTTAGCTAACACATACAGCAGCTCTTACATACACAGAGGGGAGAAGGGGGGAAGGGGGGGTTAGAGGGGTCCAGCAACCGTCAAGTCTGAAAGAGGAAGACCCGCACACCCCCCTGAAGACAACCAGATGACACTGGACAACATGAAGTCCGAGAGAGGTATGTGTGCAAACAAAAACACTGGTGCATGTGCACATCCCCGAGAACAAATCAGAGCTCTCCGTGAATACACGAGAACATTTCTGCTGCTCCAGTTTGGTGTCAGCTGTTTCCTTCCCCATTCCCTCACCCCCCCCCCCCCCACCACCCCCCTTTTTTTTTTTTGACATATAACCTTCAAGCTGCTCTCCTGCCTCATAATCCTGTTCCCTCTCGCAGTGGCTCGTGTTTGACAGACTCTCTTCACAGGGCTGCTGCTGAATGTTCCCTGACACCCACCCTTGTTGTGGCAGTGAGGCTCCTGGCGTATGCTCTACAACCTGTTTATAGCTTACATGTGAGGAGATGACCCTGTTTGTTTATGCTAATTTCATCTAACTGCCCACATCTTTACCCTGTAGAGCTGTTTATCTTGTGATTGCGTGTTTCTTCTTCTTCTTTTGTGATCAGCACCATACTTGGAAGCAGGTCACGCAGTCATGAGCAGATTAGCTGCAGTCGATCAGCTTGTGTTTACATATGTTATGAAACTGCAGCTTGGTTGCTGACTGGTCTGAGTGGGCTCTTCCTTTGCTGATAAGGAGACTCCAAAACACACTGTAATCATGCGTCCCTTACGGACACGGGTTTTTAACCCTAGCGTTTTACTTGGCTGGCTCCTATGGTCCTTTATATAGAAGCACTGACCCTGACAGGCTGTGGAGATGTCGCTCACACAGTGGTGAGGGCACAATGACCGACACGGTATAGTTTAATTATAGTCCAATAATGCAGTATAGCATGCTAGGTTAGCTGTAATAACTGTGATATAACATTGCTGTGGATATTGTGCTTCGGCTTTGTGTGAGCCTAAAGCTTGAGACGCATTACTACTCTTATCTGTTCTTTCCCCTCCCTTGCTTGCTATCATCTTTGAATGTTGAAAAGCTGTGCGGGCAGAAGGTGCTCGACATCAGGAGCTCCCTGTCTGACAGTCACTGTTGTTGTTTTTAAATATATCGTGCAGTTTTTGTGATGCAAATACTACATTGCTTATAGGCAAGACGCCTTCTTTTTCTCGCCTCATCCCCTCTCTCTGCCCTCAAGGTCTGAATGGAGAACTGGACAAGTCCCAACATGTGCATCTAACAGGGTAGTCTGGGATTCTGGTTGGTTTGAACAGAGCTCCTGTTAATTTGGGTGGGTGAGGGGGTCCCAAAATTAGCATTTCTGTTTTCATTTGTTGTTGCGTTGAGGGGGCCAAGATGGTGTAAAGAGGTAGGGTAGCCAACTTGGGACCAAACGATTGCAGGTTCAACTCCCCGCCATGCCCACATGTCGTAGACGCCTCATCCCTAATTGCTTCCCAGGCGCTTGCATAGCTGCCCGCTGCTCCACCTGGGTGTATCTCACGTGTGATGGTTTAAATGCGGAGAACTCATTTCATCATTGTATAGGAACATACAATGATGGCAACATATAGCACGTTATCCAGATTCATGCTCAATAATTCAGGTAGAAAAATCCAACAAAGTTAAGTCAGGTCCTCTGGACAGTTTATTTTTGTTGATACGTTTCATTTTTCATCCAAAAGACTTCTTAAGTCCAAGGAACTTGCAACAAACTCGGCCTTATAAACAGCATAGCACTTTACTTTAAAACGTCATGTAAATAACAATGGTCAAGCGATGTATTTTAGTTTGATATTTAATTAAGTTGCACTTTAAGCAAAGCAGGCGGATCTCAGGTTCTACCTTTCCATTGTAACCAGTGCTGCCTGGAGTCGACCCCACAGTGTCGCACCAGTTTGCACCTTCATGCACGTGACCAAAACAACAAACCTCAAACGGGATGGGAGGCAGAGCAATTTGCATGACTTTCACAGCCAGACCCACAAGAGTTTAAGTAAAACTCTGTTTTGGTTTTTTTTGTTTTTCATTCAACCTTTATATATACAGGTTAGTCTCTTGAGTCATGAGGATTTATTTACAAGAGACCTGATTTTAAACAAAAAACACAGATGAGATACAAACAACAATAGACACTCTTATAAAAGCATATAGAATGAAAAATAAATTATATAAAATGAAACAAAAACAAGCTACATTATAAAACGATGTAAAATACTAAAAACAGGAACATGTCTGCATTGGTTTTTGCAATGAGCTCAACAGTTGAGATGACTTCTGTTGTGACTTGCCGCTATATAAATAAACTGAATTAAATTGAAGTGAGTTGTTTAAAATCCTTTAGAGAGGTTAAAGTCAACAACTTCAGATCAAGGTGTTCAGGAGCAGAGTAAGAGAAGGTCCTTTTACTGAAATCAGTCCTCACTGAGGGGAGCTGCAGGTAATTATGTCTTGAGCACGCACGCTGTAGCTGCACTGACGAAGTGACATGTAGGAGATGTATGAAGGCAGCAGACTAAGAAGGGATTTAAATACGAAACTGTACCAGAGAGAGCGTCTGCGTGAAGTTAATGATGACCAGTTACCCAGTGAATTCAGGGGGCATACAGTAGTTCCAGCCAGTTATGGATCTTAGTGCACCGTGATAGACAGCGTTCAACATCTGCAGGGTTCTTCTAGGAGCGTTCATGTAAATAATGTCTCCATAGTCAATGGAGGGAAGGAAAGTAGCAGTTGTAAGTAGGAATGTGCGATATGGCATAAAATTCATATCACGATATGTACTGTGAAGGGTGGCGATAACGATATATATCGCAATATGTTTTTGGTATAAAACTTGCAATAGGAATTTAAAAAAAGCTTAGGTTGTCCTTTTGCCATCATATATTTTGAATTAAGAAAATGTTACTACTAGGTCCAGAGAATTTTTAAATAATAAACAAATCAAGTATTGGGCTTCTTTCTTGTAGTGCAAAACAGTGCAAAAGATATCATATGTAGTTTTAGCCATATGTTTTAAACAAAATAATATGTTGTTAACTCTTAACAGTTTCCAGTCTCACTTAAGAAATAAACAGCAACAGAGCAGCATTTTACACTGAAACACTTCACCCTCCAAACCTCTAGTGGGCGACTCCCTCCGCTTTAAGGAGAGCTGACACAAAATGAGTCTGTGGCTTTGACCAGAGGGTTTCGCAGTAAAATCACACAACACAGCGTTCTTTTACAGATCAGAGAGCAGGTTTCTCTAAAGCTGACCAACACTTACTTTAACTTTCGACGGAAAATAAATAAACAACTTTCGACGGAACACAGCGTTTTGCACATGCGTCCGAATATGGCAACACTACGGCAAGCCGGGCGTAGTTAGCTTGTAGCTTAGCTACTTAGCCCTCGAAGAAAATACTTTAACACCACTTGCGCACAGTTTTCAACTCAAAAAAGTAACGATTAAACTGACAACTCTGATTTTACATCATGGGGCAGCTGTGGCTGAGGGGTTAGAGCAGTCGTCCTCCAATGCGAGAGTTGGGGATTCGAATCCACCAGCAGTCACATGTCGAAGTGTTCCTGGGCAAGACACTGAACCCCTCGTTGCCTCTGATGTGTGTCCCATCAGTGTATGAATGTGTTAAAGCTCTGATTAGCCTCATTAGAATGATTTGTTCAATTAGCTTTGTAGAGAGCTAGTAGAGTGCTGTATGAATGGGTAAATGAGGACACAGATCGTAGTGTAAAGCGCTTTGAGTATCTTGAAATAAGATAGAAAGGGGCTATATAAGTACAGTCCATTTACCATTTACCATTACATCAGACACAGCATTACTGCGGTTAGCCGGTAAAGACAGATCTCTATCGTACGCTAAATTTCTATTGTTTCTACCGTATACCGTATATATCGCGCATTCCTAGTTGTAAGGTGTTTCCTAACGTTTCCCAACGTTTCAGTTTATAACTGGGAAAGCTCTGTTTATGAGAAACAAAACATCTTCAAAATTCTAAAAAAGAAATCCCCTTTAATTTAATTTAATATGGACCCATCCATCCAAACAAGAACAGTGTTTTGTGAATACGCCAACGTTTGTATTGTTTCAGACTTGCGCCCACACAGAAACAGCTTTTTAGGAGATCCGAAACAATATTTTTTGTAAATGGGGTTCTAGAGTGAGAAAATCTTTACCTGCTGACAAAAAGAAACCGTGTTCTCATGTAGGCAGCCTAAATAAAAGCCATTAAAGATGATGATGTCATAGCCCCACCTCCTGCCTAGCCTACCCAAGCTTGACAGACATAACAAAACACCAGATGCTCAACTACAGCAAAATTGTTGTGTACTGAATTACTGAACAGACAAGACTGATTAACAAAAAACTTCCTTGAATACAGCAAAACAAAAAAAACTTTATTTTACACCAAATAATCTAGGGCCAAAAAGATTTTTATCGCTTGTGAACTGTCAACAGTACTAAAGCAAACATTGCAAAAAGAGAATTGGCTTTTATGAAACGGTAAGAAACGGTGGCATCTTGAAACAATTTCGCTCCAGCAAACACAAACTTCTAATAAAAAGTTTTCTTGTTTTTCTTTTGGGTTTATGGCACATCTCACTGGAGCATCTGGTGAAACAGGCTTTTGTTGTAAAGGGAGAAAAAGGAGCACTTATGTTCTGCTTAGGGGCCTAACCAGTGTCATCTGATCCCCTTGTTTTTCTATGGGTTTAACCATGAGTCAAGACAATGTGTGCACATTTGCGTGCGTGTTTTCAAGCCAGTCCATAAGGGCGTGAGTAGAAGGTGAAATCTGGCACAGTGCTAGTGTGCAACAGATTGCTGTTGACCCTAATAAGCGCTGCACGGTTGAACCATGCGGCTCAACTGACAGCTTTTACAGGTCCCATAAAGCAGCTATGGAAAAGTCCCTGGATCTGTTTTACACCATTAGGGTGAAAACATGGTTTTGTGCTATTTGGTTTGCGGTTGTTTAAGATGACGTGTGGTTAACTTGTATTATATTTATCCACAAAAACATATTTTAGTGAACTGATGCGAGTTACTTTGGAATTGTTTACACCATAAAATATACTCTTTGTGGCTCAATATCATTAAATGTTGA